CCACCACCACCACCACCACCACCACCACCACCACCACCACCACCACCTTTGCGCTTTGAGGTTCATTTTGGTTTGAGGGTGAACCAGATGTCAAGAACATGCATAAACTGGCTTGGCAAAGTTTGACCTTGACGGTTTAGGTTGCCCGGGCCTCATGGCTACTGCACCGACTCTTGGCGCTTTGCCATTGACCGGCAACTTCAAGAGGCTGCTTTCACGGTAGCCTGTGACACTGTGTCACAGGTTCAAAAAAGGATGCTTGGGGACGGTCAGTGATGCTGAGCGACTGACGTTCTGTTTTGTTTCCGTCAGATTTCTGAACCCCCTGGAACACACACCAGAACAGGTTGTAAGCTGGATCGGGAATCATTTCGACGAGTACTTTATTCACACGGCTGCTTGGTCAAGCCAGTCATATTGGCCTTTTTTGTCTTCGTGTATCATCAACACAAAAATGCCAACCGAGGACACGGACATTCAATTCTTCCCACACTTCATGTAGGCGGCTTGGAATGATTGACCTTTTTGATGTGTCAAAGCAATAAAGATAATAGAGAGTTTTTCAACTCTCAAGGCTAGTCTTTTGGAAAGGGGGGATTCTGAGAGTGCACTATCCACTTCTGAATGGTTCAAGCTGTTGTGCATAGGCTTTTCTTCCTTGAGCACATATATATAAGTCATTTTTTTTGAAGAGCACTTTTATTTGTCTTTCTTGACAAAGCTACTTATACTTGTTCATAGAAGTCTCTTCCCTCATTAAGGGCCATCTCTCATGAGTTCTTCCATTGAAAGGGCGCCATCCGAATGTCCTCCTCCCTAAAAACATTGCTTCTTTGATAAAGCTCCACTCTTTACGAAGCGTGCTGCTTTTGCAAGGGCCTCACTGGTAAGAACGTGTCTTCTCCCTCACAATATGTCTTCATTTACAATAGACTTCCTTGTCCAAACTTTACTGATTCAAGTCTCTTCCTTTGCAAATGCCATTCGTTTGCAAAAACACATTTTCCTTCACAAAAAGCACCAACAATCTGCAAAAATGATGACATAAAACTACAGAATTGCCCGGAAACCAAAATAAGCTCGACAAAAAGAGCTGCAAGAAAGCCAACACCTCCTCGATAAAACCAATTACAGAGTTTAGGGGGTCTTCCAATCTAGAAACGCTCTCCAAAATAGTCTGGAGTCGTTTTGCTTCTTGGGTTTTGGATGGCTTCTTTCTGAAGTCAAGAAACGCTACACAAAAGAGAATGCTTCAGCAAAAAGACAGGTTTGGATAAGGGTAGTGAGGAGTAGTTGAAGACACATTTCCAGACACTAAATGGATGAAGTTTATGCACATGAAGTTGATGCCATTTTCCTTAATCTTTCTGTACTCTCAGGCTCACCAGTTCTGTTTTGTTTCCATGGTTTGCTTGAAGGAGTTCAACGTATTTTGCTATTTTTTGCTTCAAGCAAGGCATTTGCAATGTGAGTGGCTTAAATGGATGAAGGAGTGCCCAAGACTGGCACTTTCTTTTGGAATCTACTGTAACGTTTGAATGACAACGTCAGGAGGAAGGCCTAGACATGATCTTTATGCGGGAGCGGACGGAGGCCATAGCACGATGAAGTTTATGCCTTTTCTTGAGCAGGGACGATGCCCCCACAGAGGCCATGACCGACGCGGCCTTGGGATCCCCTTTGAACATGTTGTTGAGCTGATGGCTGAAAGCCACCCCTCATCCAACAGTGATCGGCAGCGCTACATTGGCGTCTCGAAAGGTCGAAATGGTCATCACGAATCACCCTGCTACAACTCACCACACCGCAAACACCGTCACAGCACGTTAACACGTTACCCTACGCATCACATCGTACTGAACCACACCGTGAACGACCAAGAATCCTGTGACCACATTGCGCTTCACCCCATCACGAGAAAGGAACAGTTGCTGCACGTCACATCATCACATCGGACATCACCCCTCTAGTTTCCTTACATCTTGCTCTTTCAGCCTTGGGTTTTCAAGCCTTCATATCATGTGTTGATCCGGCAGTCTTACAGAGCTTGGCTTGTACGTTGAGTGGTGTTCTTGGGCACGTGTGGCCGATGTTTTAAGTCCGCTTCCTCACCTGTCCACTTGTGCGCTCTTGCGAGGTGATTCCGGATCTTCGATGTGGGGAGGTAAACGCTGGCTTTTGCCTGCTGCATTGCAATTCCCGCACCAGGCCACAAGCTTTGCAGAGTCAAGTCTACGTTTTGGAACCTAGATTTCAGGTGTTTCTGGCAGAAAGTTTTGCAGGAGGAACAGGTGCCCTCGAGTTTTTTACAACATGATTTTTTCACAGCAAAGGCAGCTAAGCCAAGTGTATGGCATGTAGGAAGACTCCATTTTCGTTGTTTTTAAGTTTTGGCCAGGCATTTCCCAAGATGGATGGATATCCGCCTTATACAGTTGGCACTAAGCTTTGACATGCAAGAGCACATTGGATGTAGCATGAAATTTATTGGAATTTGGTCCATTTGGTTTTGAGGATCAGTTCCATTTGAACCGTGGTCTTCAGCATCGGCTTGGTGCTTTTCCACAGGAGTCAATTTGACCGCTTGGTGAGACCTGTCGCCAATTCCATAGCACCTGCAGGAAGGAGCTTTTGGTGTGCGATGGGTCCGGAACTGAGAATGGCAGTACCTCTGGAGGTGCACCTGTGCGTTTGTGAACTTTCACAAGGTGTTTGTTTGTCTTGGACGTTCGATCTCTGAGTTCCAAGGCGACTATTCCAGACTTTCAGTGCATTTGGGGGATGCCTTCTGACGAGGTGGGGGGCTCAGCTTTGCCGCTTTTCCACTTCACGTTCTTCTCACATTCTTCTCTGAAAATTCGAGGTTAACTCTGCTGCTTTTCATCATGCAGTGAATACACAGGACTTGGGGGAGCGAAATGCTGTCACTTCCAAGAGAATATTTAGTTTTTTCTTTTTCCCCAAACAGTTTACTGTTAGGGGTTCTCAATGCTTTACAGAATGGTCGCCTTGGTGCTGGATGGTCTGGTCGGGTTCCCGGATGGCTTGTCTCCAACTTGCTTTCATTTGTCTCCCAGTTCTTTTCATTTGTCTCCCATTTCTTTTCATTTGTCTCCCAGGCTGTTGCTTGTGGTCGGGTTCCCGGCTGGCTTGTCTCCCACTTGCTTTCATTTGTCTCCCACTTCTTTTCATTTGTCTCCCAGTGCTTTTCATTTGTCTCCCAGGCTGGGTGCTTGTGGTCGGGTTCCTGGCTGGCTTGTCTCCCACTTCCTTTCATTTGTCTCCCAGTTCTTTTCATTTGTCTCCCAGGGTGGGTTGTGGTCGGGTTCCAGGCTGGCTTGTCTCCCACTTCCTTTCATTTGTCTCCCGATTCTTTTCATTTGTCTCCCAGGCTAAGTGCTTGTGGTCGGGTTCCCGGCTGGCTTGTCTCCCACTTCCTTTCATTTGTCTCCCAGTTCTTTTCATTTGTCTCCCAGGCTGGTTGCTTGTGGTCGGGTTCCTGGCTGGCTTGTCTCCCACTTCCTTTCATGTGTCCCCCACTTTTTCCCCAAACAGTTTACTGTTAGGGGTTCTCAATGCTTTAAAGAATGGTCACCTTGGTGCTGGATGGTCTGGTCGGGTTCCCGGCCGGCTTGTCTCCCACTTCCTTTTATTTGTCTCCCAGTTCTTTTCATTTGTCTTTTGTCTCCCAAGCTCGGTGCTTGTGGTCGGGTTCGCGGCTGGCTTGTCTCCCACTTCCTTTCATTTGTCGCCCACTTCTTTTCATTTGTCGCCCAGTTCTTTTCCCACTTCCTGTCATATGTCTCCCACTTCTTTTCATTTGTCTCCCAGGCTGGGTGCTTGTGGTCCGGTTCCCGGCTGGCTTGTCTCCCACTTCCTTTCATTTGTCTCGCGCTTCTTTTCATTTGTCCGGCTGGGTCTTGTGGTCGGGTTTGCGGCTGGCTTGTCTCCCACGTGCTTTCATTTGTCTCCCACTTCTTTCATTTGTCTCCCAGTTCTTTTCATTTGTCTCCCAGTTCTTTTCATTTTTGGATTCCCAGGCTGGCTGCTTGTGGTCGGGTTCCCGGCTGGCTTGTCTCGCACTTCCTTTCATTTGTCTCCTACTTCTTTTCACTTGGCTCCTTTCCTTTCATTTGTCTCCCAGGCTCGGTGCTTGTGGTCGGGTTCCCGGCCGGCTTGTCTCCCACTTCCTTTCCCACTTCTTTTCATTTGTCTCCCAGTTCTTTTCATTGTCTCCCAGGCTGGGTGCTTGTGGTCGCGGGTTTGCGGCTGGCTTGTCTCCCACTTCCTTTCATTTGTCTCCAACTTCCTTTCATTTGTCTCCCACTTCTTTTCATTTGTCTCCCACTTCTTATCATTCCCCAAACAGTTTACTGTTAGTGGTTCTCAATGCTTTAAAGAATGGTCGCCTTGGTGCTGGACTCCAACTTGCTTTCATTTGTCTCCCAGTTCTTTTCATTTGTCTCATTTGTCTCCCAGGCTGTTGCTTGTGGTCGGGTTCCCGGCTGGCTTGTCTCCCACTTGCTTTCATTTGTCTCCCAGTTCTTTTCATTTGTCTCCCAGTTCTTTTCATTTGTCTCCCAGTGCTTTTCATTTGTCTCCCAGGCTGGGTGCTCGTGGTCGGGTTCCTGGCTGGCTTGTCTCCAACTTGCTTTCATTTGTCTCCCAGTTCTTTTCATTTGTCTCCCATTTCTTTTCATTTGTCTCCCAGGCTGTTGCTTGTGGTCGGGTTTCTGGCTGGCTTGTCTCCCACTTCCTTTCATTTGTCTCCCAGTTCTTTTCATTTGTCTCCCAGGGTGGGCGCCTGTGGTCGGGTTCCAGGCTGGCTTGTCTCCACGTCCTTTCATTTGTCTCCCAATTCTTTTCATTTGTCTCCCAGGCTGGGCGCTTGTGGTCGGGCTCCCGGCTGGCTTGTCTCCCACTTCCTTTCATTTGTCTCCCAGTTCTTTTCATTTGTCTCCCAGGGTGGGTGCTTCTGGTCGGGTTCCAGGCTGGCTTGTCTCCAACTTGCTTTCATTTGTCTCCCAGTTCTTTTCATTTGTCTCCCATTTCTTTTCATTTGTCTCCCAGGCTGTTGCTTGTGGTCGGGTTCCTGG